GTATCTTATGATATAATTAGCATAGTACATAAAAGAGAACAGATTTGAAAATCACCTACTGACTAGCTGCTAGAAGGCACCACTGTTAGGTGTGTGGAAACTTTTTTCTAGGTTTTTTTCCCTCTCTGCGTGGGTTTTTTCAATCAGTTAAAATCGTTCTGACTAGAGAAGTCTTTAGTTTGTGGGTTTTTACATAACTCAGTCAGCATAAACATAATGCAGGAGAGTTTCCATTGACTCCATTACCCTGATGAAATTAACCTCTTGCTGGCATTTACAAGTTTTTATGTAGTTTTTGTTACTAGAAAAAAATACCAAAGTAAGCATATTTTTATATATAATTTTCCTTTCTTCTGCGTATTTTACTTAAGGTGAAGTCTAAGAATTATTGGATAAAAAGCTAATGCAGTTTTTCTGGTCCTTTTTTAAATGACTGAATCCCAAGCGTGTATATTAACGGGTTCCTACTCATTTGTGTAGCAGGAAGCATTTCTCGGGAACCTGCCCAGGTTCTTTGCTAAATTTGAGAAGTAAAAGTTTTCATGTCTTTTTAAATCCTCTTCTGAGAATTGTTTTCGTCCTTTGCTTCTTTGTTTATTTCGAATCTCTTCATCACAAAGAACATAATTTAACATTTTGCTTCTTCCGGTTGTTATGTGATGTTTCATTTTTTAATTTAAAAAATTCTGCTTTTGGTTAGTCAGTGTTTTTGCTTTTATTTTATTTTTTAATATGATTTTCATTAATTAATTAATTAATTAATTAATTTTTGAGACAGGGTCTCACTATGCAGTGCAGGCTGACTTTGAACTTGCTTATGTAGCCCAGGCTAGCCTCAAATTTATTGTGATCCTTCTGCCTTAGGCTCCCAAGTTCTGGGATCACAGCCATGTGCCACTACACCTGGCCTTTTTTGCTTTTTAATCATTCTAAATTGGCAAAGAGCTTTTTCCTCCAGTGTGTTTTATAAACAAATTTTCTACTAAATTTTCATGGGGTCATTTTATTGTTTGATTTTTTTAAAAAAGTATTTACTTTCTGCTAGTAACCAGTATTTATTTACTTATTTATTCATTTATTGGTACTTGGTACCGGGGATCGAACTTACAACTGCGTGCTTGCAAGGCAGGTGCTTATGTCATTGATTTTTTGGAAATGTAATTCTTTTTTTTTTTTTTTTTACTGGTACCAGGGATCAAACTCATGACTGCACGCTTGCAAAGCAGGCGCTGATGCCACTGAGCTAAATCCCCAGCCCCTGAAAATGTAATTCTTTAATGAATTTGAAATTTCTCTTGCTGTGTGGTATGCGCTGACATCTAAATTAGTTTTTACCCTTGAACTGTTCAATGACAGTCTCAGCATAATTTATTGATTAAACTTTCCTTTTATATTACTGATTTTTTGGTGAGCAAATGTTGCATTTATTCTTATTATTTCTGTTAAATGTCCTAGTGCATTGTTTGAAGGTTGTAAGTTATTAGTGTTTGATTTCAGTGTCAGTGTCTTTATTCCTTTACCATTAAATACAAAGTTGCTGTGCTGTGTAGAAAGTATTTTTCTCCTTTCTTTTCTTTTCTTCTTTCCTTCCTTCCTTTCTTTCTTTTTTTTGAGGGAGGTCTCACTATGTAGTGCAGGTTGGCCTTGAACTCACAGTGATCCTCCTGCCTCAGCCTCCCGAGTACTGGGACTACAGATGTGCAACACCAAGCCTCGTGAAAATAATTTTTTATTCCTTTGTGTAACTTACTTTTGTGAAAAGTGTGTGTTGATATAATCAGATGACTTTTCATTTTTGCTTAATGATTCACAATATCAATAGATTTTCTAACTTTGAAACTGTCTTGTATTTGTATACTAAACCTGACTTAGTAATGACGTTTTATAATTTTAACATCCTGAATTTTATCTAGTACTTTGTAATTAGGGTATGCTATGTATATATATGGGTGTTTATGTGTATAAACTGTATATATATATTAACAATTGCATTTAAGTAATAGCTCTTCCTCTGTTATGTTTGATAGTTGGATAAATTTGTGTGGTGGTAGAAATTCATGAACACTGTCTTATGTTCTGAAATAGTTCATACAATATGGAAAATATCTATTGTTTAAAAATTTGAAATGAGGAGCCGGGTTGTAGCACAGTGGTTCAAATGTACTTAGGGGTCTGTGCTTTATCCCCAGCCCCAAAAGGAAAAAAAGAGAGGGGGAGAGTGAGGGGGAGGGGGGAGGGACAGAGGGACAGAGGAGCCTAAAGAAGAGGGGTTGTTTTAAGAGCACAGGAATTACTGGGTAAGATTCTCAGTGTCTCCCACGATTATTGGCCTATTAATAAATTCAGCTTCTTGTGTCAACTCGTATTTCAATTGTGGTAAATTGGGTTTTGTTCCCAAATCATCGATGATGTCAATGCCTGTAAGTTTCTCTCTACTTTTTTGTTCCTCGCCATCTGAGCTTTGCCTCTTTGTTTTTCTTTCTACTTTGATCATTTGAGTCTTTTCTTCTTGACCATAGTGGTTAGAGATACGCATTTCTGTCCAAAAACCACCACCTATTAAATTTCTTGATTCTGGTATTTCCTTTAACTGACTTATTTATCTTTATAATTTTTTTATGATTTCCCAAAACTTTTGGGGGTCTCTTTTTGAGGTAGGGGTTCACTGTGCAGTTCAGGCTGGCCTTGAACTCACTGTGTATTTCAGGCTCGACTCAAACTTGCAGCAGTCCTCCTGCCTCAGCCTTCTAGCTACCAGGATTACAGGCATATGCCACCATGCCTGGCCCTCAAACTCATAGTAATCCTCCTGCATCAGTCTCTCAGATCCTGGGCTTACAGGTGTGCGTCACAGTGTCCAGTTTATACTTTTTTTGTCTTTTTGAGACAGGGTCTCACTATGCAGCTCAGGCTGGCCTTGGGCTCACTTTGTAGCTCAGGTTGGTCTTGAACTTGCAACAATCCTCCTGCCTCAGCCTCCTAGGTGCTGGGATTACAGGCGGCTCAGTTTATATGCCTTTATCCAGAGCCATCCGATGGATTAGATTACTATACAGCAGTGGCCTTCACAATTGTGTTTTTCTTTCATTACCAAAAGACAACTTTCTTTATTGTGGTGAGTGACTTTACTCCAAAGTGCTGTGGCACTGGTCCTGTGTGCTGCCACCGGGGCTTCCACTTACATTTGCTTTGTCTCATGGGACTCTCACACTGGAACGTGCTGTGTCACTTCAGTGTGCCCTTTAGAGGACCAGAGTTCAATTCTGTTTCTTTTCTATCTCTATTTATTTATTTTTTGGTACTGGGGATCAAACTCATGACCTCACACTTGCCAGGCAGGCGCTTACACCAGCGAGTTAAACCCCCGGGCCCCTAATTCTGTTCCTTAATTGAGCTGAGTATGTTGGCAAAGGAAGCTTGAATTTTTGTTTATTGTTATGTTGCAGTGCCTGGTTTTTTCCTCCTTTGCGATCAAGTCCAAAGCTTTCCTTTATTTCTTTTACTCTTTGGGGATTTTAAAGACACATCCTTTCCTTTACAGTACTTAGTTTAAGACTTTAAAAAGCCTGACACTTATGTTTTCTGTGATTATTAAAACAAAAACAAACCACGAGAAAAGCCGTGGTGTTGGGCAGACGGCAAGGTGACGGTCCCCCATAATCACCTCCTTTCTGTGCTATGAACTCTGGACGGGGAACTGGAGGGCTCCACACATAAAGAAACGGTAGGCAGGGGGGAGTTAATGGCCCAGGCAAGGTCCATGCACGCTGGGGGTGTGTGTTAAAATACCACATCGGGCCCTGTTGCTGCGTGTGAATGTTACATGTTAACCAAGAGTAAAATTAAGCTGAATTTTCAAAGAGTTGGTGATTGTGCTGGGCATGGCGGTGCACATCTATAATCCCAGTACTCAGGAGGCTGAAGCAGGAGGATCACTGTGGGTTTGAGGCCAGCCTGGGCTGGATAGTGGGACCTTGTTTCAGAAAGAAAAAAAAAAAAAAAAAGAAAGAAAGAAGAGTTGTGCTTCACCCATGCTCTGTTTTTCCTCTCATCCCCACCTCCTGTAACCTGAGATACTTATAAAACCTGCAGTTTTATAGCACCCCCAGGGAGGCACAACCTTGTCCCACAGTATTATCTAAGTATTACCTAAGATAATACTGAGCCCCTTGCCCTGTTTTCTCGTGCCCCAGCAACTTGTGGCTCTGGTGACCTCTGTCTCCAGCCTGTGCCCCCATGATCCCATATCTGTTTCTTTGTCTCCATTAATTCTCCTTGCATAGCTTCCTGCTGTCAGTGCTCCCAGGCCCTCCAGCTCATGTCGCTGTGCTGCACACCCTGTCATTATCTCTTGGAGTCTAAAATTCGGAGGGAATTTTTTTCTTGAGACCATATCTGCATGAGAGGAGGTTTCTGTATTCCGCAGCCCTGAGCCATGACCTGGCCAGCCGGGAAATTTTTCAATCCGTGTGCCCCTTTTCTAGACCTGCAGAGGGGATGCGGAGGATTAATATTTCAGGCTCTCTGCTCACTCTGCCATTAGCTGGAAGGTTTTTGGTTTTTTCAACCTATTTCTTTTTGCGGGTCCATAGAGTGATTGCTAGCTCGGGCTTCAGAGATTACCAGGTGAGAAGCTTCCTTTTGAAGTCCTCCAATGAGGGACGCCGCCGGCAGGCCCTAGGACAGAGATGGTCCTCCCAGAGTCGCCTCAGGCCCGTCCCCACTCACATGCCTGCTGCATCCCAGCACCCTCGGATATTTGCTTCCTGTCAGATCGCTGGATCATTTTTCTCCCTTTGTTAGTAGTTTTTGTTCTTTGCATTTCGGCCAAATTCAGGCTTGATCTTCGAGCATATTTTATTTTGTTTACCTTTTCTTTTCTTTTTTTTTCAAACGCAGCTTGACTACATAGCCCAGACTGTCCTCAAACTCTCTGTAGTCCCACTGCCTCAGCCTCCCCAGTGCTGGGATGGCAGGTGTGTGCCATCACACTCACCCATCCACGGTTCGTCTGAGCATTCCCAGCTACACACAGGTGGCCTGAGGGCCCTTTCTGAGTTGCGCTTCTCTTTCCCTTCTTGGTTTCCCACCGCGATGACTTCTCTCACCTTCTGGCCCTTTGGTGTGGTCACAGCGCTCATTCAGATGTGCGTTGCACAGGGGCCTGCCTTTCCCATCAGATAAATATACCTTGTGGCTGTCTTGTTACACCGGCCAGTTTCTGAGACAGGCCTGTGGGTATTTTGGTGTGTTTCCTCTGCAGGAAGCAGGCTGGCCATCTGGGCTTGCTTTGTCCACAGGGCCTGCGTTTGGGACCTACCTCCGCAGAAATTCCGACACACAGCTCCAGGGAGCGCTGTTCCACACCTGTAGGACCCTGATCTTTGCGCACCTCGAGATATTTTCTCCCAAGTCCCGGTGAGAAATTCACAAACATGAAAGCACAGACTCCTAGAAAGCTGCCACATCAAAGAGCATACACGGAATGTTCCGAGAATGTTCACAGCACCTATGTGTGCATCGACGTAATGCATGATTTTTTCTTTTTAGTTAAGGGAAAGGTATTTCATGTAAGATCTTAAAAATGCTGGAACCCTCTCTTCCCCTGAGTCCCTAGGGAGCTTAACGATGAGACACGAGCAGCATGGGAATTCTCAGCAGTGCCTGCTAGCAAAGGTGTAAGTCTCAGGGACTTTTATTGTGGGATTTTTGTTTCTCAGTAAAACATTAAGCTCATGAATAAGCTGCTGGTTAGATGAGTCATGGCGCCTCCACACAACAGAATACAGTGAGACTGCTAGAGTACGTTGCACTGGGTACCGGGGATGAAGGCGCAGGCCTGGTGTCTTAGTTCTCAGGAAGCTGAAGCAGGAGAATCGATGTAAGTTCAAGGCCAACCTGGGCTGCAAAGCAAGACCTTGCCTCAAAAAAATAAAAAAGAATAAAGAAAAAGAAAGAGGAGAAGGAAGAAAGGAAGGAAGGAAGGAAGGAAGAAAGAAAGAAAGTTGCTTCATATACACAGCTGTGAAACAATTTCCAACAAACATTGCTAAATGGAAACCAAGTACAGTAGGTATAGTATTTCCAAAATTTGAGCCAGCTGTGTTGGTGCACCCCTGTAATCCCAACACTCAGGAAGCTGAGGCAGGAGGATTGCTTTGAGTTCAAGGCCAGCCTGGGCTACAAAGTGAGTTCAAGGCCAGCCTGAACTGCACAGTGAAATTGTGTCTCAAAAAGACCAAAAAAAGGAGACATCTTATATGTGCATGTGTGTAAATGTACATACTTGGGAAAGTTTCTGGGAAAAGTGTGTCAGGGCAGGTAACCATGGTTGTCTCTGGACGGTACGGCTCAGCCCCCAGGAGACTGGAGGCTGACCATCTTTGGCACATTCTCTTGTATTATTTGAACATCTTATTGAGTGCGTGGGCTATTTTTTAATTAGAAAACCCCAGTATAATCTCCTAAGCTATAAATGACCACTGCACTGTCACCAAAGCAGAGTTCTCCGGGAACAGACTCTGCATCTTGGGGCCCTGTTAGCCAGGCGCCCTAGCGGGGGGCAGAGGAGATACAGTGTGAGTCCTGGAGCAGACTTAGGGCTTTGACCTCCTGCTCACCGCAGGGGCACAGCTTTGCCATCCAGGGACCCCACACTGGCTGCGACTGTCCCTTGAAGTAGTGAGGGAGAGGAGGCAGGCAGAGGTGGGGAGCAGGGCCGTATTTGAATTCCCTTCCCAGCAGCACTGGCTCCGGAGTCCTGGGCTGAATACCCGAGATCTGCCCCAGGGCCTCCTCCAGGGACTCCACCTCTGCAGCCCCGCGCTTCTGTCCTGCTGTTCTGCTGTCTTAAGCCTTTTCATGCCCTTGCCAGACCTCAGGCCCTCACCTTATCCTCTCTGGGGCCGGCATTTCTTCCACAGCTCTCTGCTTTCTGTCTAGATTTCTCTCTAGGCTAACAAGAGGCAGCCACCTCCAGCTCTTGCAAATCCTTGCAGGGAGAAAGCCAGGCAGAGATGCATTGCTTGGTGTTGGCCTGGATGGGTCAAAGCTCGGTCCCTGAGCTGGGGGATGTGGTACAACCATCGCTCTGGCCACGGGTGGAGGCAGTTCTGCTCAACTCCAGGAAAGTGGGCAGCAGCAGAGGGGACAGTGGGAAAAAAGGGGCTGAGGCCTGGAAGCAGCATTGGAACCCTTCAGCAAGCAGTTCCTGCAGGGAGCCCGAACTAGTTTTCCTGTTCTCCATGAAGTTCTCTCTACCTCTGCTTAAGCCTGTTTGGTCAGGGTTTCTGTCGTTAACTGCTTTCAATGGGGTTCTAGTGAAAAAAGAGATATTCACATATAGAAGGGTCCCATGTTTGAAAAGAAAATGTGTGTGTCAGCCAGGTGTGGCGCCAGCACACCTGTAATCCCAGCACTCAAGAAGCTGAGGCAGGAGGATCACAGGGAGCTTGAGATCAGGCTAGCCTGCACAGTGAGTTCAAACCCAGCTTGGATTACATAGTGATAGCCTGCCTCGTATAAAAAAAAGTGTGTGTGTGTAGAAAGACAGAATGAAGCCAGGAGTGTTGGTGTGCTCCCATGTGTAATCCCAGTACTGTGTGAGGCTGAGTCAGGATGGTGGCAAGCTTGAGCCCAGCCTGGGCAACTTAGCTACTTAATAATACCTTGTCTCAAAATAAAAAATAAAAAGAGAGCTGGGGGTGAGGCTCAGTGTGAAGGCCTTGGGTTCAATCTTTAGATAGCAACACACCACACTTGAGAGAGAGACAGAGAGAGTGAGAGAGAGAGAGTCTGAAACGATATGCAGACAATCCCCACCAACTGCCATAGTTTGACTTATAATTTTTCAGTGTTAGCATGCTGGGAACATGCACCCAAACAAACGCTGTTTTACATTTTCAGTACTTTATTCAGTGAATAAAGTCGCAGGAGAGACTCAACATTCACCTCTAAAATAAGCTTTGTGTCTGATGGTTTTGCCCAATGACAGGCCAAGCTGTGTGACTATACCCCACACGACTAGGGTGGCCTAAGCTGAGCTGTGGTGCTCACAGGTTAGTTGCATCTAATGTTTGCTTTCAGCTTTTATGTATATATATTTTTTTGAGACAGGGTGTCGCTATGTAATGCAGGCTGGCCTCACTCTCACGACAATTCTCCTGCTTCAGTCTCCCAAGTGGTATATTACTGGCATGCACCACCTCACCTGGCTCAAATGTATTTTTTACTTGTAATTTCCGTACCTTGTGATGGGCTGTCAGCATGTAACCCCACTGTAAATCAGGGACCTCCTTTGGAGCAGGTAGCAATGTCTCCCTTGGGGTGGTGCAGTTAGACATCACCTTTGGGTTCCCTGTAGTCTCTGTGGTCGGGTGGAGACGTGCTCCCGATGCCCGACTGAGGCGTCTGAGTCCACCCCACCCTGCCCTTGCCCCTGCAGGGGGAAACATGAGCCAGCACAACTCGAGCCAGAACTGCTCATTCATTGACGTGGACAAGCTGATGAAGACCCTGCAGATGGCCGTCCACATCCCCACCTTCCTCCTGGGCCTGCTCCTCAACCTGCTGGCCATCCGCAGCTTCAGCAGCTTCCTGAAGAAGTGGCCCGGCTATGCGGCCACCTCCATCTATATGATCAACCTGGCCATCTTTGACCTGCTGCTTGTGCTGTCGCTCCCCTTCAAGATGGTCCTGTCAGATGTGGAGCACCCATGGTCTGCCTTCTGCACGCTGGTCGAGTGCCTCTACTTCATCAGCACGTACGGCAGTGTCTTCACCATCTGCTGCATCAGCCTGGACAGGTTCCTGGCCATCCGCTACCCGTTCCTGGCCAGCCACCTCCGGTCCCCCAGGAAGACCCTGGGGACCTGCTGCGTCATCTGGGTACTGGTGTGGATCGGGAGCATCCCTGTCTACAGCTTCCATGGCAAGAAGGAGAACTACATGTGCTTCCACAACATGTCCAACAGCACCTGGAGTGCCAGGGTCTTCTTCCCCCTCCAGGTGTTCGGCTTCCTGCTGCCCATGGCTGTCATGGGCTTCTGCTCAGCCACAAGCATCCGCATCCTGCTCGGCCTCCGGGACCGCAGCCACAGAGCCTGCATCAGGACCATCGCGGTCAGCCTGATGGTCTTCGTGGCGTCCTTCCTTCCGGTGCACCTGGCATACTGCCTGCAGTTCCTGGTGAGGAACGGCTTCATCGTGGACTGCAGGGCCAGGCAGCGCATCAGCCTGTTTTTGCAGCTGTCCATGTGTTTCTCCAACGTCAACTGCTGCCTGGACGTTTTCTGCTACTACTTTGTCATCAAAGAATTCCGTGCGGACATTATGGCCCGCCGCCTGTCCCAGGTGCCGCTGGTCCGGCAGGACACCATGATTACCCGGGGCTGAGGGAAGGAGACAGACCCACTCCAGTGTCCCTGACAGACACCCTGTTCCAGCTGACGTCCTTCCTCTTCCATGCCCACGGAATCCATATTTGCTCTTTGGACCCCAAAACCTTTCCACACTTTCCAGTCAGCTGGATGGACATCACCATGCACTCGAGCTTTGCTGGAGGACCTGAGGGCTGGGCAGATTCTCCATTTCTAAGTCCAAAAAGATAGGAAGCAGAAAGGTTGGGTAGAGTGCATCTGAAAAAGGCCGTTTCTCTACTCTCCCATCCTTCTCTTTAGAAGATTCTGGAAAGATGGAGAGAGGAGTTAGTTCTAAGTCTCATTTCCTTTGGGCCCCAGAAAGGCTCAGGGAGAAGCCGATCCCTCCTGTGGCCAGGACACAGAGGGGCCCATGCGGCAGTGCGAGCCAGGCTATGGGGGAAGTGTTGGGCAATTGTGGGTCAGTGGGGACAGAGTGGAAAGGTGTTATCGATATCTTAGAGCTGCCAGTGGCCAGGCTGTCTTTGGGGGAAGGGAGACAGGGGCTGGAAGTGGACAGCCCCCCTCCCATCGCCCCTGAAGTGTCTTGAACAGGGTCTTAGCCTGGCCCAGGGCGCTGGTCTCAAACACACTCGGCTTCCTGCCTCGAGTGGGGTGGGAGGTTGTTTCTTAGCCCTGGCACAAAGATGGAGAGAAAGAATCTGCCTTGACCAGGAGTAGCCTTAGCAGAATGAAGGAAGTGTGTGTCCTGCTCCCCTGGGTCCCATCTGGGCTGCTGGCACTGGTGTCATTGCCCAGGAAGCTGCCCATCTCTGGTGGCTGGCACGGAGGAAATGAGGGAGCTTGAGATAGACAGGCTGCAGGCAGCCTCCGGCAGTTCCGGGCACAGTGCTGTTTGAGTCCATCTGTCCACTCTGCTGTGCTCCAAGGAGGACACGAGATGGGATAAGAAGAAATCAGGGAGACCATGTGGACAGTGGAAAAGCAACGCAGGGGAGGAGGCTGAGGGCCTGGCCAGCTGCCCAGGCTGGAAGCCATGAGGGGAGTGGGGTCTGGGTGGGGACCAACAGGGTGGGCGGGAAGGGCCAGGAGAAGGGCTACTTCTGGTCACACTCCCTCCCCCACTGAGAGCCACTGAAGGGCAAGGGTCTTGCAGCTGTCCCTGTGGCAGTGTTCAGTGGCACTTTGGGTGGCTGGCAGGCAGTGGGGGGTAGAAGGCGGCACAGAGGCGTGGAGGTGGGTATAGAGGAGACACAGGCTCAAGACCAGGGAGGGCTCTGCAGACCAGGAGTGAGGCTCTACCCTGGCTGTGCTGTACAGGCCCTGGACACCCCTCTCCCTGCCTGTGGGCTGAGCTGGCCCTAGACCACCCGGGGCAGAGACACTTGCTGTGTCACTCTGAGGAAAGAAAACCACCTTGCAATGGAGAACAGGGAACCCCAAGAGCAAGATCCTCAAAATGAGAAGGAGTCCAGAGCCATCAACAGTGAAAGAAACGGAAAGAAGTTTGTCTTTGATAGAGTTGAACAGCTTGAGCTAGATGTGGTGACCGCAGACCTCCTGATCCACCTCAGGACAGCAATGTCCCTTCTCCTTCTCCCCAGGAGGACTCCTGGCCTGAGGGGCTGTGGAAGGGACTCGGGTCCAGCATTTTAGGTGCATGGGTGGAGGCTCACGCAGGGTTAGGGTCAGAGTTAGGGTTGGGGTTGGGGTCCCATCAAAGGGCCCACCCTGCGGCAATGCCAGTCAGGAGGCAGGAAAGCTGGAACCCAGTCGTGAAAAGCTGAAACTCCTGCTTGCTAAAGCCATGGGAGGGTCAGAGCTGTCCTGTGACCGTAAGTGTGACCTCGTTTGTACTCCTAGCCTGGAAAACCCCAAGATGCACATATGTATATCCGTGGAGCCAGCACGATCACTGGAAAAACAATAGGACTAATCAGAATTAACTCAATAAACAGATTTGTACAGCACAGTGTGGGCTTGGCTTGGGCTACACTTTGCAGCTCCTTTGCATAGCTGCCTTGGGATGGTTCTGGTCCTTTGGGTAGCCCAGATATTGAGTGTGACGCTGCAGGGTGCCCGTCCAGTAGTGGGTTAGAGCTGAGCTTCCTTCTGACTCCTCCTAGGTGTGTCTTGGAGGTGCAGAGCCCTTGGTGGGTGTGACCTGCTGGCTCCTGGCCCAAGCCATCCCTTTCCCCCAAGCCCGTCTGCCCCAATTCTGAACTCAGCACAGCCATACCCTGGCTGCCAGGGTGCCCCTGGGACCTCCTCCCTCCTTAGGAGTTGTTTTCTGTTAATCCTCAAGGCACAGAGCGGTTTCCTGGGATCCCTGAGAAGGATTTGATGGGGGAGGCCCAGCTGGTCTGCACGCAGAGCTGTGTTTGTCAGCTGCATCTCCTGATTCCCCTTCGGGGACCCCATGGAGCCAAGAGTCACTGTGTTAATGCCTCGAAGTGGCTGTGGGATACGAAAAACACCTATGTGTAAGAATTCACCCTTGGGGGGCTGGGGATTTAGCTCAGCGGCATAAGCGCCTGCCTTGCAAGCAGGCAGTGGTAAGTTCGATCCCTGGTACCGATAAAAAGGAAAAAAACAAAAACAAAAACAAAAAAAAAGGAATTCACCCTTGTCACACAAGGACAGTCATTGAGAAGAGGTCATCAGGACCCACGGGTGACTGCAGAGTCCCATGGGGACTGAAGAGGGTGTGGCCCATGGATCTGGGAGGAGGAAACTGAGAGAGCTGCCTGTGAGGGTGTAGGAGAGCAAGCATCACTCAGCAGGGAGGGGGTGCCCCTTCCCCCAAGACCCAAGAGCAGCAGCACAGGACCCCACTGCCCCATCCTCCGCGTACCCTGAGACTGTGGTGAGCACAGGACCCTGAGAAGAGGGTGTGACTCAATAGCCAGTAGTGCTGCTCAGGGCAGGTCGGACACGGCCTCCTCTCACTTCCTGGCCCTCCCTTGAGCCTGGGATGGAGCCTGGCAGACACTTGCGGGAGTGGGGAAGTTAGAGCAGAGAGTGGGGGCCCCACATGCCTTGCTCCCATTCATCCTGATTGTCCCCCTAATGTGAGCTGAAGTCTGGGGGAGGCAGCATCAGAGGCACTGTCACTTCAATGGGACCATCGGGGAGGGATTCTGAGTTCCCCTGGGGAGCTCAGGCAGAGCCTTTGCTCCGAGGCTATGCACTGACCCAGGAGTGCAACCCAGGCATCTCTACAGGAGCAGTGCAGTCACGCAAAGGTCTCTCGGGGGAGCCCTGCAAGGGGCATGGCCATGGGGAAGCCCCTCTTTACTGCGGGGCTCAGGACTGTGCATTTGCACGTACCCACCCACACACACAGGCACACACAGCAGCCACCTCCTGCCGCAGAAGTCAGCCACACTCTCCCCGCCATTCTCTTGGTCTCTGGCACCCAGTGTGGCAGCAGAGACCCGAAGTGCAGAAGCTGAACTCAGGGGCAGCCCGGAAATGCTTGCAGAAGGGAAACGGTCGGCGCATGGACCCCCTGCACAGACAGTGAATCTGCTTCTCACAGCCACAGAGGGTGGACAGCCCCGTTCAGGGCCCCTGTGGCTCTGTTCCCAGTGTGAGCTGTCTTGCCGGTGGCTGCCCCTCACCCCGGCCCTGCGAGGCACAGAGGAAAGCGAGCTCTTGGGCTTCTCCTGAGACACTGGTCCTGTCTGTTCATGCCCCTTCTTGTGACCTGTTTTTGCTTAGCTGCCTTCTGAAAGCTCTGGAGGTTAGGGCTTCACCATGCGGGTTTTGGTGGGCGTGGTTCAGTCCACAGCACATTGCTGTTTCTGTGAGCTGCAGGAGAAGAAATACTGTGCTCCCTGTATCTCCTCAAATCACAGGGAATCAGTTTGGGTTCAGCTTCACTAAGACAAAGCAGCTCTGTGGCCTCTGAGGCCAGCCTTGAGCTTTAGCGGGGGTGTTCCCACTTGCAGAAACACTGCACTGGCAGGCTCTCTAGGGATGGTGTCTGTGTCACGCCTGAGTGTGGGGCTCCCACCTGCTGGCCCTGAGCCTCAGGTCCTGTGCTCTCTCTCCTTCACACCTGGTTTTCCCAGGGACCACATGAGCTCTGCCCTCCCCAGGCTGGGATACTGAACCGTAGCCCCTCTTCTCTGGCCCCTCTCTGGCCAGCGCCTTGCTCTGTCTCCTCCAAACCCTGCAATCCTTCGAACACCAAAGCCCAGCTGCTCTGTGGGAAGGGGCACATAGAGGAGGAGCCCGCCCAGCCCCACCAACCCGCAGTCCCGTCCTGATGGTGGCAGTGGGCAGTGCCTGCTACCCTGTACAAAGGAGAGAACAGAGCCACGCTGTCAGTGCTGGCCGTCGTGGAGAGGACAGAACACCTCAGGTCAATGCCACTGGCATCACAGATCCTAGGCGACTGCTGTGTGCCCAGTCTGTGCAGGACAAGAAGGGCAGACCTCTGAGAGACCAGTGAGCTCCTGGGAAGGAGAGAACAGGGCAGACCCCCAGCCTGGGCACTGTGATGTCCCTGGCCACCTCCCCCAAGCCAGTATTTAATAAACTTCAAGGTAATAGCTGCGCACCATTGCATGGCACTGATACACAAGGATAAAAAAGTGTGGTGGAAGGGGCGTCCCGAGCTGCACCATGACCTGTGCACCACTGCAGAAGGCCCTCCTAGCCACCGGCTACAATAACCTGCAAGTGCCCCCCAGCAGCCTGTGGGGTGAGCGGGACTAGGGGTCCTGGTCTGCACCCACAACCCCTACTCCACCCACCCCTTCTGCTCCCTGGAGACCCTGGCTGGGCCCGCCGAGCTGCTGGATTCGGTACAGGCCCCCCTGGAGGTGGCCCTGAGCCCCAGAGGCTGGTAAGGGCAGGCAGAGACTTGCCTTGAGAGGAAGGGCAGGGACAGAGCAGGGTGGGGAGGGAAGCCCGGAGCCTCCATGCCTCTAGTCCTGCTGTTGTCACCTCTCCTCCCTGAACAGCACAGGCAGGACCTTGGGCTTCATGTGGCCTGGGAAGGGTTCAGCCTTGACTGAGCTGAGCTTCTGTAGCTGTGGTGAGAGCAGCAGATCCACCCTGAAGGGGCCCAGGCTGACCTCATGGTCTCCCTGGAGGTAAGTGGCATAGTGTGGGACAAACAGCTCTGTCCTCGACTGAGTCTCTGAAGGATGATGGAATACATGGTGAATGTTTACATGCGGAAAAATCATTGCAGTGAGAGACTACTCAGAATCCTCCCCCTGGTTTTCTTTTTTCTTTCCTTCTTTTCCTTTTTTTTTTTTGCTACTGGGGATTGAACTTCCACACAGGCGCTTATGCCTATGCTGCTGAGCTAAATCCCCAGCCCTTTGAGCACACTCATCCCATCATTCTTCCGCTCTCAGAAGCGGCTCTGGAAGTGCTCTCTCCTGAGCGTCTGTGTAAAGTGTCATCAGAAACGCAAGGACCTCGCGCAGGGCGTCCTCACCTACCTACTCCCAGACCTGGCGCCTTGTGACTTCCAGCTCCACCCCCAAGGCAAATGACCTCACAAGGTCCACGTCTTGAATCAGTGCAGGCTTCTGAGGCAGCCATGGACAGCACAACTAAAGACCCTGAAGGTCCTCCAGAGCTGCTTCAGCGAGCGGCAGGAACGGCGGGGTGAGTCTTCAGCAAGGAGAATCAATCAGTACTGTGGTAAACTGTCTTAAAACTTAATCATTCAGCATAGGTTTTAATCACACCTTCATACTCGGGGGTCCAGCTCTGCCCTGGGAGGGGGCGTGACCTCCCTTGTCACAGTGAGACAAGCCCAGGAGGCCAAGTCATGGGCCCATGGCAGAGGGAGCTGGTGGCAGCAGCCAGGGACATAGGCCCAGGTACGGGGTCTTTCTCAGTGACCCGGCCGATCCACCACACCCTTAGCTGGTGAGCATGCAGAGGACCAGTTGGGGCCACTGGTACCATTGACAGGGGAGGGACATTTGATCCAGGGACCACACACGCACAGCACTTACCCAAGCTTGCTCAATGCTCATTGAGGGCACTGAACCCAGATTAGTAATTAGTGGGATTGAAAAAGTTTGATTCACCAAGCTGGTGTGGTGGTGCTTGTCTATAATCCCAGCACTCAGGTGGCTGAGGCAGGAGGATCACCTCAAATTTGAGACCAGCCTGAGCTACAGTAGTCAGTTCAAAGCCAGCCTGGATTATACAGAGAGACCCTGTCTCAAAAAACAAAAAAGAAAAACAACCCCGCAAGCCAAATAAACAAAGAGGGAGAGAAAGAGAGGGAGAAAGGAGGCAGGGAGGCCAGAGCAGGTCAGGGAGCTGAAGAAACCAGGATGCTGGCAGAGGCCTCCGTTCCCTGGGAGAGCTCAGCACCGGTACAGAAGGAGCAGGGCAGGGAGGCTGGATCTGGCTGAGCTGAACAGCCAGAGGCAGCCCCCGGAAAGAGAAGCAGGAAGGTGCCAGGCCTAGCACAAGTGGCTGTTGTCAGGGGGTTCTGTGTCCCAACACTGCTTACCACCATGTGTGACATTTGGGTTTTGGTCCCGTCATCTGGGGCAGGGCCCAGCAAGATCTTGGGAAACTGGGGCTTATTTGGTGCCCGTGAATCCAGGCTCTCAGAGGCCACGGCTGCCCCTATTGGGGTGAATGCTGGACTTCCTAAAACTGCAGTGGCCTGGGGCAGAAGGTGTGGTTAGAGCAGGCCCCTTGGGGCCTCAGAGGCAGCCTGGCTGAGAAGGAGAAGGCTGCAGAGATGGGTCAGAGGCCAAGCCTGGTTCTGGCCTGACCACTGTGTGATCACAGCAGTCTGACTCCACAGTTTCAGACGGAAATGATGGCCCTGACTACAAAGCAATAGCACAGGGCTGGGTATTTAGCTCAGTGGCATAAGTGCCTGCCTGGCAAGTACGAAGTTGTGAGTTCAAACCCTGCTACCACAAAACCACAAAACAAAACAAAAAACAAAGCAATAGCACAGAATCCTCCTGAC